TCATCGTTCTTTGCCAGCCTAGCGTTACACACATTCTACGAATGATTAACAATCGTTCTTTTCCTATCATTTTTTACTAAAATCGCAACAATTCGAGTAGCTTACGGTCGTTGAACGCACTTTAAGGTTTTTCCGGCGATTTGGTTTCATTTCGAGCCCAATGGAGGCAATTGATTGCCTGTAGAGTCTGAATTACAAGTTGTGAAAAGAGTAATTTGCACAGATTCTAAGATGACCAGGACTTGTTAGCTGTGTTTTATGAAAGCACCTCGGTGGGCAAGGAGCGAGGGCACGGTCCTCGATCATTCACAGTGTGCTTCGCCTTTTTTTGGTTGTGTGATTCGGGCTCATTTCAGTCATCCCCAGGTTTTTATTTGCTCTTAGCACGGAGGTAGATTAGAGCCAAGTAGCGCCGTTACCCCACCTGTGGTCCAGGGATTGAATTTCGATATCCGATCAGGCTAACCCAATTTTTCTTCGTTGCAGGTCAAGAAAATTAGTATTTATAAGTCTTGCCCCTAAAATTCATCAGCTTGGAGGCCAAATACGCCGATTTTGAATGGGGCTCTTTGGGGTGGGCGTATTTTAAAGAAAAAATGCATCTTCAAAAATTTATTCGCTGTTTATTTAATGTGCATATGTTACTATTGTTATTTACTGTTAATGCGTTACTATGTTCATTGAACTAATCTGAGTTTTCCAGTAGAGGTCTATGTATTTCAACATGTACCTGGGCCAACAAGCAGGGGCCAAAATATTTTTGATGTCCGTTTCACTGATTTCATCGATGGTCAGAGGGATAGCGCAGTGGGTGGTGGAGTGGCTCGGCTTCAGTCTCGTAGGTTCAAATACGACGCCAGCTGATCTGCTGTTGACCTTCACAAAACGTTGACGGTTGACATTACAGGCGTAGTACTTTTGTGGAAAAGCAATTTTACTGGAATGTTATGACAGGTTTCCCTAAAAGACGGTTACCTTTTGAAGTAATAACAATAAAAGTTTTCCTCGTGAGTAATTGCAAGAGAATGCTTTTTCCTATCGTAAACCGTCCTCGGGATTCTGGTTTCACGTCGTCGTCGACAGAATCCAATCTACAGTTGAAGCCATTTTCCTTTTAATAATTTCATGCTATACTACGCTGGAAACTTTTACAACACAGGGAATATTCTGGAGAGAACGTTTCCAACTTTCATTTGCACTTCAATCAATTTGACTTTTTCATAGCAATCGTGGATTCAATAGAACCGCACATATTTTTCCTTCCAATTTTATGCAGGCAAGGGTGATCGAGTGCCATGTTCCCACACACGGGGTCCGCAGTTCGAATGCTGAACCTATATTCGCCCAGGCCCATCAAGGGTACCATCTCTTACGGGTGAGTAGATAGCGAACTCGTCCGGGAAGATAAAAGCAGTGACTTCTATACATCTGCTGGCCACTGCCTATCCAAACGCACCTGCGATCCTGAAGGGGAATCGAGGGCGAGAGCGCATCCCAAAAACAGGATGGAATAACGCCTAACTCTGTATTACTTGTCCTTTATTTCAGTCCTAGGTATAATATAGGGGCAGTTTGGAAGTATCCACAGAAAGTAGATTTATGGGTTTGTGTATGTCTGAGGCTATGGTGGACTTACTGGCTTACTGTGAGACTGTCATTGTAGGAATACTACAAGACTCGTAGTGCCATACGTGACGGGTGTCCCCTCAACGTCTTAGGAGTGAAGAAGTGTGTTCTGAAAACTGGGAGGGAAAAGTGTGTTTTGAAGTCAGAACAAAGGAGGATTGAGACCTCTTCCCACAACAGGATTAACCTGCGGCTACGCTATTGACTTTGTTAACACAACTCACTTTGCATACTCGAAAGTTCCACCGTCTATTCTCTTGCGGTGAGAATTAGTGTCATAGTCGATCACATCAACTATGTTGCTGGGAAAGCATCAAAGCAGATGTAATCAGTTCGTTTCCGGAAAAAAAGGAGGTTCCCCGATGCTCAGAGCCATCAAGATCGCGGTAGATATGCCTTACCGGATGTAGTCGTTAACCCTAATACAACTACATCAGGTTTAATTTAATACGATAAAATCTCGTAGGTGGGCCAGCTGCTCGTCATGTTTTCCTTTCCGCCTAACCAACACAGCCAACCCTTTCTAACCGATCAGCACAGGCCAGACTTTTCAGCTTTTGATTTTGTGGTACAGGAATGGTGTACTGTGAGGTAGTAAGGTTGCAGACGTCCGGGGGCGTCCGTAACTTACACGTCCCAGAGAAGATTGGGGGGAGGCAAGTCATTCGGTTGGTCTGGGTGTTGCTACGAGCCATGGGTGAGCCTTTGATTTTATAATCTGGTGGAATCTAGTCGTTCGGACATTCGATATTTTCTAATAGAAGGGAAATTTCCCGGTGCTAGAAACTAGAGAGATTTGATCGATTTTCTATTCTTTAATTTGTGGAGTTCTCCTCATTCGAGGAGCGGAAACGTCTGGCCGTTTCCGCCTCTCTTCCGTGATCTTCATTTTTTTTCTTATTTTCACAATCTTCGCGGTGGAGACCCACCAGTTGTCCTAAGGTTCGAGATAGCTTCAAAATTCCGCCAAAAAGAATGACTTTTTCACAGGCGTATATGAATGTATAACCCAGACATCGCGTATAATCGCTGAATTGGAACGATTACTGTTGCACTTTCTTATTGTATGCCCTTTCCTTTACGATTTCAATAAATTTCGGCCTTCGCCGCTTTTTGAATTATGGTTTCTGCGTAAATTCTTGCAGGTTCTTTGGAAGGTTCCACTCTGCTCAAGTGGAATGGAACAAGCTGCTATAAAAGGGCAAAGGATAAAGTATATCGGCATTAATCGATACCGTCTTGAAATGCGCCCTTGCAATCGACTTCCATTCAGAATCCTAGTAGCGCATTGAATGCGTATGNGTAAATTCTTGCAGGTTCTTTGGAAGGTTCCACTCTGCTCAAGTGGAATGGAACAAGCTACTATAAAAGGGCAAAGGATAAAGTATATCGGCAATAATCGATACCGTCTTGAGATACGCCTCTGCAATCGACTTCCATTCAGAATCCTAGTAGTGCATTGAATGCGTATGTTGCCCATACAATGAGTTGTGATGACCAACCGTCGCATAATTTGGTGTATTTTCGCTTACAAATAGGTCTGGTGCCTTTTAGTTGAAGAATGGTTGAACTGCCGGGATCCGATCCCTCCACCATGTATGTCGCAGCTGAGATTGTAAGAATGTATCACTGAAGCGGCCGTTCAAGCTTTTTGGACCGTGAAAGTTCAGAAGATTCAAATAGTGATTGCCTGTTGCTGCAATGACTTTTTTAGCAGTCCGTTTTATCTTCCTCTTTTTCTATGGAGCATTGATTTTGCGCTGTCGCAGACACGTTTTTGTTGTCATTTTCTTCAATCTGCGGCATTTTCTGCTGTGACCTTGAATTCGGAAAGTTAGGATTACTACGTTCAACGCCTTCTCTGGGGTTTCCCATGGTTGTATGTCCTGAGCTCCTCTTGTCGGATGATTTTGCAGTCTTCTCATCACGTACTAATTCTTACCCTTGCGGAGGCGCTGCTGAGTGTACGAGAAAACCCGAGTGGCTGTGAGTAAAAACTCACGTTTGCACTTATCAACACGCAAGTTCGATCCTTGTCCAGTGAGTGGCAGCAGCAAAGTCAAACGAGATTGATAGGGCGGCTGATGCACCATATTTCAAAGTCACCCTGGATTCGAATATGGTGCGCATAACAAACGATTCGATCAACAACGTTGAAAAGCAGTAGCGATGACCGAGATCTCCTATATGCTCCACCTTTCGCCATCCTTTTAGACTTCCGCCTTCTCGTTTTTCCTACTTACACAGCATCAGCTGATCTTTATTTTGATAAATGCTTTCGATTTCCGCCTTGTTCTAGAGCTTTCCCTAGTCACCTTTGGTAGTTTTTTCAGTTTTTCCCTCCACCATTTTCGATTTTTTCGCACACCCTGACTTTTTTCTTTAGTTTTTTTGTACCATTTTTATTGACTACTTGAAGTTTTTGCTAATTTAAAGATGCTTTCACAAAGTACGTCTACTGCTTTTCAAGATCGGCTAATCAAGGCCAGGCTTGTGTAGAGAAACCGAAGCCGAGGTCATTCAGGTGTTTCACCCACCAAAAACACTGACGCCAGCGTTAGCTAACTATCGAAGCCTTTGCATCAAATTGCCCCAATTCTGCGGGCTTCCAAGCTTAAATTGAATGCTAGGCGTATCCTTAAGCAGCTAATCGGTGCCAACTACTTGTCGTTAACTCTTCGAGTAGTGAACGTCAATCAGAGAGTTTATGTTTTGGAAAAAGCGTTACAGAGGTTTCCATTATGACTTCTGTCATACAGTTTGTGGATCGATCTAAAAGATGCAAGACCAACGGATTGGCTATGCAGAAGAGCTTTCGTCGTTGGGACCGACCAGATCAATCTTTGGCTAGCAAGTCTTGTAATGTACATGAGCGATCACTAATTCGATAATCACGTAAATCAAGCGTTTCATCCGTTTGGGTCAAGTAACTGATAACAAACTTGTCTGGGAGCCTTATGTCATCTATAAGATCTGTTGATCTTCGCTACGCAATACTCGCTGATGTCCTAGACGTAGCCTTCGAAAGTTTTTGCAATCCCGAAAGAGGGAATGGTGCGTGACATTTCCCTAGCCGAGCTTGGTGTTTGACTTTGCTCGAACTGCTTGTTTGACTTCAGTAATTCAAGTTCTCGGAGCCTTGATTTTTCATTTCCTCTCTATTTTTTCTTCATTCCTTTGCAATCAATTATTATAATTTTACAACGGCAGCGAATAGCTCAATAGCCCGCTCTCTACCTTTTCCAACCCTATTTTCTGACTTATATACCGTATTTCATGATAAAGAAACCGTGAGGTCCTGAGTGGAAAATCGTATTAATCTCATAATTTTTTCTGGCGGATCACTAGCAATGTCTGATGGGCCTTTTTGCAGGATGCGGCAACTGCTGTTGTCCTCGATACTGTGGGTTACAGGTCTTGCAATGATCAAACCCGATCTATACGTATGGCTGGAACAGAATAGCTATATATGTGAGTTTGCGTCTTTCTGAGTACCGCTTAATAATTTATATTTGCAATTTTTGAGACGTTTTATTTTTATTTCGGACGGATTTATCGAGATTATCAATTATATTGTCGTTTCCTTTATTTTTATGAACACTAGCAGTGTTAAAGCTTCTCTTCAAGCGTTTGTAAGCCATTCATATCTGAATGAGCCGTGGGCGGGGCGCGGACGGTCGCGGTGCGGCGCAGCAACAGTGTAATGAACAATGCCAATCGATCGACCGCGTACCCCTTCGTTAGCGTCCTAATCAGAATGGAATGAAAAGCCTCCCGAAAAATCTCTGAAATTGGTATTCTCTGCAATACTACACTATTCTTTCAGGTGACCAATCATTTTTTGGAAATGGGCCACGGTTTTTGACACCGGACGAATCGAAGCAGTTCAGTTGTGATTGCGGTGACCCATTAGTCAGTCGTTCAGCTTGTTCTCGGAAAGCTGATGATTTACCTACTTGTACTGCGAGTACGTTGCACAAAACTACATTCACGACTTACTACTGTAACTCAGTTCACCGTAAGCAGTGATTCATGAAACGCTTTTACAGTTCCCGACCTGTGCATGAAGGAGTACATTATTTTGTTTACCGAGACGGGCGATCGGCTTTCACGTAAGCGTTTTCGCACAATTTTTTTGAATATTTTGTTTTCCTTTTTATTATTGGCTTTAGTGGTTGCTCTCAGTTGCGGAAAGCTTTTCGGAATCCGACACAGCAGCTTTTCAGAACCACTCACTACCAGGGCCTCTACAACTGAAGAAACAACGACGACGACAACTACTGAAGCGACAACTACAGAAGCACCGTCAACGACTGTTACAACGACAACCTCCCGACGGCAGTCGATTTCGTTCAGGCCAATTCAGCAGCGACAAGCAAGGACGCGACATCCAGTGGCGAGGGAGTTCCTGTTCAGAAGCAGATCGTCCACACGATCTGCGACGACGTCGTCACCCAAAAGACAGAACACATTCGCTTTACAGGTAAAGTGACCATGACCTATGTAATTAGCAAGGACCTAAGAATCACTGTTCCATTCTAGAATCGATTCCCGCTCCGACCACCTACTCGAAGTCGTGAACGTGCTCGTCCATTGCCGAGACTTATTCCATCGTCCCGATTCCGCTCGACGTTCAGAGATCGCTTCCAACCGTTCAGAAGGCGTCCGTCAACGGCGACGTTCATAAGGACTACCAGGTCCACGACCACAGTAACCACGCCTCCACCAGAAACCACTCCCACCAGCATTATGGCTACTACTACTACCGCAGAAACCACAACTACCACGGAGGCGCCAACGACGACAACCACGCCCACTACTACCACTACCACAACAACCACTGCTACTACCACTGCACCTACAACAACAACATCAACAACAACGACAACGACTACAGTACCGCCCACTACTACCACCCAGAGCACCACAACGACAAGTATAACCACTCCTCAACCTACCACTACAACTCCTAAACCAACTACTACAGCTCCTATACCGACTACAACAGCTCCTCAACCGACTACGACAGCTCCTCAGCCGACTATGGCATCTGCTCATCCAACTATGACCACTCCCAAACCTATTATTACAACTCCCATGGCGGTTACTGCTACTCCTAAACCGATACTCATGACTTCATTGCCAGCTACTACTAATCCTGCAGTAGTCACTACAAAAAGACCCCTCGCAGTGAAACCAATAGTACCATCTCCTGCTCCCCAAAAACCACCGTCCACCATAATGGATGCCATTAAACTGACCAACACTGAGATGCTGCTAGCAGAACTGACTAATAGGATCCTAGCCCTCGGTAACAAAGAGCCAGAACATCCATTGATGGATCTGAAAGAATTTCTCGTGGCCAAAGGAAGGCTTCACAGAGAACCCGATCTAAGGGCTGAACCAACGACGGCAATTCCATTCACGACAACGACGACGACGACGATGAGGCCTGTGACCACGGCAACGATGGCCACTACGACTTCGACGACATCCAAATCAACGACGGTCAAGAGGGAAGCGACATGGACAAGTATGCCGGCAGATGAAGAAATCGAACCGGTGCCAGAAGAACTGCACCCGAAGGAAATCCCCGTTGTGAAACCACAAAGGATTTGGGGAACCGTAAGGAAGACTGTGCTCAAACCAGAACAATTTCTTTTATCGACAGTGAAGCGTGAAGAGAATGGTGTCAGTCAGGGAGCCAGCAAGGGTACTGTGAAGGAGGTACCGCACCAAATCGTACCGCACCAAGAAAAGTTGAATATGTCACAAACGGTTGGTATGGAGGAGAAGCCCAAAGTAACAGCACAACCAACAGTTTTCAGTGATCCAGTGGTAGCGGTTCATTCAGATCTGATTATAAGGAAATCGGCAGAATCACCCAGTCAAAGCACACCCACAGTCATGGTTTCCCCCAAAATCACACCCACAATCATAGATCCCCACCTAAACACACCCACAGTCATGATTCCCCAGCAACAGGACAGTGTCAAGGAATCAAGCGTGACTTTACGATCTCACGAAGAAGCCATAGAATATCTGAAGTCAAAAATCGAAGCCCTCGAGAGGAGGCTGATGGGCAGGTATGAATTGGGCATTAAAATGAGTGTGAGTGTGTTCTTATGATAAGTGACGCAAATGAAATTTGTTCCTTATAGGATGGTCCAAGATGTTTCCGCTTTGAAGAAGGACCACCCACAAGGGAACGATTTTGTCGCTACTGATGACCAGGTGGCTAATATTCGGCGACAGTCACGGATCGACGCGGAACACCGCATAGCAGCAGCGGAGCATGACAGTACAACAGACGTGCTGAGTCACCTCGACGACCTGAACTCTGTCGAGCAAAATGCGGACGATCAGCAGAATGTTCCAATGGCCCGATCGGTGAGAACGGGTCGGCACTCTTCACCAGAAGACCCGTCGGTTGTACTGGCAGATGTGCAGGCGGTGGGTCCTATATTGAAGTTATCTTGCCTTTTCATACCGTACTGATACCGTAGCCATTTCAATTACAGGTCTTTTCTCCACAAGATTTGCTATCAAACCGAAGAAGGAGGAGTCTTTCCAGTTGATGGACAAGCTCCGGCAAAGAAAATGTCTGTTTGTGGTCTTCAGGTGTAAAAAATACAGCCATCTAACGCTACGTTCATATTTTGGATCACGTGGTTACGTGCTGAATATGGGTATTGATAATGCACGCGCGCGTTAAAAATCAATACCCATGCTAAAGCGCACGTTACTGGCTAACAGCTGAGATATGAATGCAGCTCTTTTCTCATAGTAGCTCACTGTCAATACAATGGTACTGTTATTGTTTCTTGAATTGTTAACCGCTAATCGTCGACGGATATCGGTCAAACCAAAGTGGAGCCTTGCTAAATATTGTTTGGTTTCAGTATAGTTATGTTATAGATAACTTATAGCAGTTTTTATGAACGCTGAGCGAATTTATTGCCTAATAAATGCTTTAAATTTGTCTTATTTATTTGTTTACACTGCGTTAATTCGCTCCTACCTAATAGTTACAGCGCAGTACTCGAATCTGACCGTCGCTACGTCAAGTATAAACTATCGGAAATCATTTCCCAGGTATATGTATCGAACGAGGCTTCTCATGGCCTATCGCCCGTGATTTCGTTCTGAATGAGCCCTTGTGGGACTCCCCAGGATGACGTTATGAACTGTTGCAGTCGCCCGTTTTCGAGCGTAAGTGTTTTGTGTTGGAAAAATGTTTATCGATTACCTGCTTTGATACGATATTGATCTCTGTAAGAGATATGAGAATGTGGGCCTACGCGAAGTGGCGCGCTACCACCCACATGGCCTGGGGATCGAAACACGTCAAGACTAACCAAGTTTCCGATCCCGACGGGATTTTAGGCTTGTCTGGGAGGATAGAAGCGCTGATTTGGCAATCGCAGACCAATGTAGTATACATATACCGCATAGACATCCCAATGCGGCTACAATCCTTCAAGGAAGTAGGATGTGGGCTCCTAGGAGGTTGGATCTTTCAACGGGATTGTTCAGCCCTGGAAAATTTAGAAATTTTGTTCTTTTTGTTGAAGTTTCCAGTATTGATCAATTCCTTTATTTGAGATGCGCCCACGCATTTGGCTTCTATTCAGAATCATTGAAGCGTTTGAAAGCGTAATTAGCTTAGTCAACAAGTTGCGGGAAGTCACCCTAAGTTGTAGTCAATGCTTTTATCTTTTTGAGGAACTTATTATCGAATTATCAGGGGTTGGAGACCTGGTCGACCTGTATAAATGCATAGCGAGAATTCCATCTTCTGAATAGCAGCGCCTTCTGGCATTATGCACCCCACCTCCTTAAGGGATTCACAATAATAAGAGATCAAATAGCCTACGTCGAGTTGTATTTGTCTTAAAAGAACGTTCCTTAACTCTGTTTAGTTACTTGGACATTTCGTTTTCCATGTCTGACACAAAGAACCTCCCAATCGCTTTTGAGCAAGCGATACATGGAAAGAACATGGCTTATCTCATCGTCCTGTGGAAAAGCCCTTGAGACATTTTACTAAAATTTATAACCAAAAACCGACCGGGGGAGTATGCAACACATTTTAACGGACTCGATCACTTCGTTGATCTTGTCTTTGAAAAGCTGGCCGACAACATTTTAGTGGCTCTTACTTCTAATGCGGTACAGATGTTGATGCCATGATTCTTCAGTGAATTTGGGGCGGATGCCCTCAGAGTGGCCCACGGCCGGTCTCCACCCATTACACACTATTCGAAGATGTTGCTGCGGGGCAAGCCAGCCAGCCAGCCAGCCAGCCGTCCGGCCAGCATCAACGGCCTGAGCTCGGCTGAGGGCGGGCAGACACAACCCAGACGTGACACACACCCATACACACACACACATACACCCATAGATACGTCACAATCATCGCCTCAGCCCGTCGTTCACGACGGGGGTTCCTTACACTCACTGGGGATCTTTGTTGATATCTTTTTGTTTCCGAGGCTTATACACACCAGTATAGACATCTTTATATACACCTATACACATTATAATTTCAGCTAGACATTTGTCATTATGTCGATATTGTTGCACTACGGCTATCGCTGTTACTGCTGCTACTGCTGCTGAACTACGAAGCTACGTAAAGCCGAGCCTGACAGCTTGAGCTGTAGCTATTAGCTCTGGCTATTCTCACTGTTCCTATATTTTTGCTGCTGATTTCCCACACACACATCCAGCAACACCGATCGCCCACCCAGTCAGCCTCCCACGACACTCACACATCGGGATCGTAATCCTGATGTGGAATGAAACGTCAGAACGTACGTACGTTGTCACTGATCGTGTGCACACTCACGTATCTATTAGTAGGAGCCGCCGTATTCGACGCACTCGAATCCGACAACGAATTACAGCAGGTTAGTTTGTCATTGCAAAACCTTTCCATTCGATCAATCAATCAATATTTATGTGTATAATGTAGAAATCGATTTTTGCCGTCTTTCCTTTTGCTGTTCATATCTTTCGGAAGTTGATTGACTAGGTTTTGTTTAAAGTAACACCAACACTTGCGGGTCTGATTAGTTCGCTTTCCGTCATTAAACCACATTGCAGCCTTAGATCGATCGATCGATCGATCGATAAAAACCAAGACATAGACGAGTAATGGTTCAGATAGCCATAGAAGTGTTTTTTTTCTATTTTACTCTCATATTTTCCTTTTACTAGCTTATATTTTGTTATTTTGAATATTTTGACTCATTTTACTTTTGATTTAATATTTCCTGTTCTATTCCAGCATTTTTCCATTTTTATTCTCTGAGTTTTTACTATTTATACTTACTGAAAATATATGTTATTTTCCACATTGTTACACTATTTTATTTTGTTACATCTAAAATTTTTACAATGATTTTTGGACGAGTTGGTATTTTGACCCCTCCTAGAAGCTTGGCCCCGGGCAATTCATCCCTGGAAACAGGAGATGTGAAGACCAGGGAGCTTCTGGTTGTTGTTTGGCAATGCCTATAGTCGCCAGCTTCCCCCTAGCTGGAACATTTTGCAAAAACGATATTTTCATGATCACATGAGCAAATTTTTTTCAATTTTGAGGTACCTCTACCTTTTTTATTGACTCCATTTTAAAAAATTGATTTTTCTGCTGCATTGTGTATGCTTCCATTTCTGTCGTCTATTTTGGATGTAACTCGTCCAAAATTCCAATTAGTAAATCGCTCCTGGTTGCCAGTATAAATGAGCATCCAATATTTACTATATTCATGTCCAAAAAAAATTTCCGGAGATTTGAAAAGGGACCATACAAGTTGTTGGTACTTTATCTGCTAATTCACACTGCTTTGTCTATGACAGCTTTTAGTAACACCCCATTCCCTTACCATAATTGCAAAGAATACAGTAATTTTTCAAAACTGTTTTGAATAAGTGATAATTTATTCGAGAATCTTCGCTTATGATCTACAGCGATTACAGTCGATCGATCCCTAAACGGTTTAGTCCTGTTTTCATGCACTTCCTTTGCTTGTGTCGGCTTTTCAGCTCTTAACAACTTCTGTTTCCAACTCATTCCCTATTTTTCTATTTTTCCTTTTCATAAATTTCGTAATTTTTGGGTATGGATAGGTCTGATGCATTTTGTATCCTTTTTCAGCATTGCATTGGTCTTTATAGAAGCCGTATAGATGGAGAAATGAAAAAGCATCTGGTTCAGTTATTATTTTGCAGAGAGAAATTCCATCTTGGTTTATACCGATACTGTTAAGTTCTTAAACTTAAAAGAAATCGATTTTCTGTCCAGTAGCCTTTGAAAACTTCCGTAAGGCCAATCATTTTACGCCGCCATTGCTTTTAATGGATTATGATGAAAAGTGTCATGAATGGTTTGCTAATTCTCCATTTTTCCTCGGTAAAAAGTACTTCAGTACTTCAGTAGTAGGTAGTTTTCAACATTGCACCCCCCATGAAATTTTTTCCTAGAAGGTGTTTTTGGTCTGGCTTCTTTAAAAGTTTGCAAAAACCAATGCCTGACTTGAGCTTTCAAATAGTTCCCCTTTGGCCGATCGGTTTTATTTTTTGATCCATCCAATACTTGAAGAGAAGATCAGAGTCCCCCCTGAACCGGTTGAATTTGGAAGGTGCAGATAGTAACAACGCCACTCCCCACTTCGCTATCCTCACCTTTTGAACTAGATCAATCTTTGACTGATTGGTCTAACTTCCCGGCCCTATTTGACATAACCACTTCTAGTCAATTCATTATTATTTTTTTATTTCAGTTTGATATTTTATTATTTGCATATTTGTTTGCTCAGTTGAAGAAGAGTTTTGTTGATGTTGCTGTTCATCGATTTCAAATTTCGATTCTAATTGTATCGTTTCCTGCTACCATCTGATACCTTTCGTTGAACGCTATTATTTTTACCTCCCATTAGTTTATGAAAGTTACTGTAGTCACACGAGTTTTTTCTTTTATTTAGTGAAATTACTTTTCTAGGGTGGGTATAGCCGCTTTGGCTCAACGGCCGAGCCATATTCAGGGAATCCTTGACCTGCGTAATCGCGATTAACCTTTTTCTGAAAAAAAAAGTATCTTTTCTTGAGACATTTCTCTGTTGGAAAAGACAAAAAGATTATTTCTGAGCAATTGCAATCGAATTGAAGTTAAGCATTGGTGCAAAATGGTTACAAATGTCTCTAATGATTCCGAGTCAAAGTCCAATGCATGGCGCATCGACGGAATAAAATAATGTCTGTTTCTCCTATGTAAGGGATTGAGAGGTTGTGTCTCGTTCTATGCAGGGCTTAATAATCATCCAAATCAGTTTCTTCTTCGTTCCTGTTTACTCCATTCGCTTCTCATCGCATCACAGGGGTTCATTCGTGATAAATTGTTTATTGACTGTGTACAATTTGATTTATTGTTATTGCACTGATTGATTACAACATGTTTCTTTCGTACTCTATTGATTGATTACAATTTGATTTATTTACATGTCAAACGATGTTCTAAACAATTGCATCAAAGTTTCAATTGAAAAGATGCTTGAAAGAGATTGGCCTTATGGCCTCTCTTATATGATATCAAGTTCCACACAGTTTTACCATGACTCCCTCTGACTCCCTTGTCACTTCTAAGCATGAATTTCAAGGAGCTTGTTCCTCTGTTCCTGTTCCTTGTCCTTATATTCCAAGGTCTTTCTGTAGGAGACCTTTCTCGGGGAAATTTCAGAAAATGAAAGAAAGTTCTTGTTTTTGCTCAAAGGAACAGTTCACGATAATTTTGAGTGCCCATTTTTATTCGAAAAACGGAAGTATAGGTTGAGAATAGTTCATCGGTAGTGAAGAAAGCGAGAGAATTCGTCGAATTCGAGAAAAAAAGGCTCCTCAAAAAAAGGGAAAGTAGAGGTTGGACGAGATTGCCATGACGGAAACAGCATATAAGGGGTATGCGGACGAGATTTCAGTTATTGCAATTGCACAAAGAGCCTACATCAAGCCAGTACTGCGCAACTATCTTTCACTGTCGCTATATGTCATGACAAGGTGGATGGATCTATCTACATGGGTTCCCTTGTGATCGATGCAACCTCTACAATACCGGTGAAACTCGTCCGAGGATTCACACGGGCCAATCATTGAGCCATTATAACTCCCTAACTGGGCCGTTTTCCGACCTAATAGTGCCGAATGTGGTATACGCGGGGGCGTCAAATTCATCCTGTGGGGGAATCTCAGAAACCATTGTTATCGTGAACTGTGCCTTTAAGAAGAGTGGTTTTCATCGATTGATCTACTGATTTGCCATCAATCGATCTAATTAAATAATGGCATATCTGTATATGCTTTTGAAAAGTCCTTTAATTTCTGTAATTTCGACTCTTGGTCTGGGCGAAAGTGTCTGACTTTCCCATTCCCATTCATTGTGAATCGACTCTAATATTTTCCGATGCGGTGTCTCAGGAGGCGTTTGTACCCTGCGTTAAATTCAGTTTCGTATTTTCTTCCTCACTTTCACTTTATTCCTCTGTTCTTTTTATTTATAGACGTTAAATTTCCATTTCGCCTTCTCTGAGATGTTGTTGATGTTTGCTTGCTGAGTTTACTCGATAAGTTGCCCGACGATGATGAGATGATAATGGAGTGAATTACTCGAGTTGGAAGGCGGCTGAGTTATTGAGCGGTGGCGAGGGTTTTTTCGGCCTCATCCATAACAAAGCTTGTCCAAAATTGGAAGCAAACCTAAACTGAGTGGCTTTACCTATTTTCATGTAGCGATCAATAATTACCGCAATTCAACTGTGAGAGGGCGGGTTAGGGTTGAGACCAGGGTTAGGACGGGTGGTGGACTATAATGGAGCTTTTTTGAGTTTGCGTATGTACGTGCTCGTACGAGATTTGAGATCGTCGTGTACGAAAGGTGTAAAGTCACAAATGAATCACGCTGCTGGCTTTTCACCATCCGACATGATGATTAATATCCTATAGTTATGCTCACTATGCGTAGATTTACGAGTTATTCGAGGAGATCTTCAAATGCACTACCCACCTGTTAATGATCGTTGGTTTACGGATGGTTTTAAGCATAAAAATCCCATTTTCTTGGAGTCTTGAATCATTTGTATCGTTGAAGAAAAGCCTGATGTTCCGTTAACAAAGAGCGCACTGAAATTGAAATTCTTCTGATTGCCTCAATCGTAGGAACTTTTCAGGAGCAGAGGTAGTGAAGTGGCAAGTGGCGCCCTATCTGACACACATTGTCATGGGTTCGGATCGATGCCCGCCTAGGCCAACCAAGCCTTCCATCCCTTCGGGGTANGCTGGCCACCGCAAGTCATTGTATAGGCCACATACGCACTCATTATGCCACTTGATTCTAAATAGAAGTCGAGTGCGTGGGCGCATTCTTCAGACGGGATTGTTTAACGCCTCTAGACTTTATCCTTTAGGACTTTATGAATCATTTTTGCTATTGTGAAAGATCAACGCGCATTCAATCGTCTCTACAACCCATTTCGGTCAGTGAGTAAGTGGCGTATACCGACGACTCACTTCATTCCTCTTTGTAGCAATGAAGGACAGAATGCTCTATGCAAAACCTACTGGTCTTCAAGTGCTTGTCTTTTTTTTTCACGTTAATAGGAATGCCACCAATTCTTTTCGACAAGAACCTCCTGAGAAATCCAATGGTAATCAGTCATTCCTAAGTGACAGACGGCTGTCTACCACTTCTAGGTGACAGGGAGTGTTCTCGCCCATTAAAAGTTGATGAATCCCTAGCAAAGTGTAATGGAGTGGTCAGTGTTTTCTACATAATCGATCGATAGCTATCTTTCTCGTAAAACAGTTATTTGGTTGTTGCAACGTTCGGATCATCTTCACCTTCGTAGACTAGAATGAACAGGTGTCAAGTGGGGGAGAAGCTTTTCACTAGTCACATGATACTGGGATTTTTTTTTTCACAGAACGTGCTTTTCCCTAGCTTCGTATTGAATCTATTGGCCACCATAAATTAAGGGAAACGGACAGTAGGATCGGTTTTGTGTAATCGATTCGCCGCACGCGGCCGTCGCAGACCATTGGCTTCGCCGTTAATACGGTTCTAGCCTTCTTCATGCAGCTCAATCGATATGCAATCACTAATTTTGGTATAATTCTGCTGTTAGTTCTTTTGTTCCTGCATTCCTTGCCTGCTGCTGCATTCTGCTACAATCCCTCGTGCGCGGCGTCCTTCTCGCCGCGACGCGACAAATTCGATCCTACAGCACCACACCCTTCATTGAGCACCGTATACTTGCCTAGCGCTTAACCATTTGTGGATTTGGATCCAACCCCACAGTTTCGATACAAGGTACGAACTATGGCTATTTGTAGTATTGTTAGCATCGGAAAAACAGGAGGCGCAAGAAAAATGCCAGCTTACTGGGCAAAGGAACCTAGAAAGTGGGAGAAATTTCGGGCATTTTTTCGCTTTACAAACTCCCATAATTTCTCACAAGGTTGGCGAGTTATGGACAGAACTTCGGCTTCGGACGGGACTCGAATCCGTACTCATGATATCCTGGCACCCTGCTCTTTTCTTTTGCTCTCTCACGATTTCACTTCAAAATGAAGTTTTGCATTTGTTCTGAGAAAGCAGCTGGTAAGAAAGATGTTGAGTGGGTGATCTGGTTCACAATGTGTTTCGGGTATGAATCCGTTTTTCTTCCTCTCTTTCCATCCGGTGAGTCATATGGCGAATGGATCAGGAAGCCGTTCAAAATCACATCAAATCCGTTCTCTGACTCTGCTCTGACGTGAGCCCATCTGGGAGCGTTTTTCTGATCATTCGTTGATGTCATCGTATGTGAATGTGCTGTAAAACGGCCATCACATTCAACTCAAAATAGCTCAGAAACATTTGCTGCGGTCTAAATGAGAACGTTTGGATGCGCCCAAATGACGGTTGGTTCGTTCGTGTACTTCGAAAGCACGGCTGTTGTTCTGACAGTTGAGCTGTTATGAGCTGAATGGTTGGGTTTCCACAGAACAGACTCGGCTAGCTGATTTCGCTGGCTTTTTCTCACAATAAACGGATTCATGAATATTCCCATCGCTTAACTGAAGGAGCCTCCGATTGAAGTCAACGATCTGGATCACACTTGAATTCATGGCGCATCCATCGAAAAGTAATATTGACGCTACATCCACTTTCATGGGCAATCCATAGAATTCGTTCATTAGCCACTTGGTAAAAGTAATTTTATTTTTTTTGTTTTTGTTTACAAAGAATCAATGGATATTGATTCAGGGGTTTTTTTCCGGCATGGGTGGGTATGGGTATGGGTCCGGAGTTGTGTCAATGCATAGCCTTCCCCTGCACTCCACATTTGCCAGGTTGACCTGATCTCCATCAACAGATAAAGGGTAGAATAAAATGGGTAAAAGTGAAAAGTCAAATAACCGATGCATCAGGCTGCTTTCCCATGTTGCCATGGGTGAGCTTGACGACTTGCTAAAATCTCTTTACGATCGCATAGCCAAGCCAGTCCGATCGATTGGGAACGAATCACAAAAAGGCTATACAAGTGAGTGACTGGGATTTACAACTCTGAAAAACTATTACTACATCAATGAATATGCCATTTGTCGAGCGTGATTTGCAACTACAAAGAATTAGGGATTGTCTCGATGTTCTGGGTATCCTCACATGAATTTTGCTTTGAATCTGTGCAAATATAGTAGAGGACTAACGCTGATACACTATTTCTTCGTACACTATTGTAGTTCTGCTGTCATGAATTCGATTTGACGACGAATGAGTGGGAAATAATGGAGTACATACAGTCGATTACCGCTCAGAATCTTATTTGCATTTCAATGATCCAGCCAGGGATGACCTGTGAAGGGGTGCGATTCGTTGCGCGCGTCCGCCGAAACTAGGTCACGCCGCAGCCATCGCACGCGGCGAGTCAGCCCGCGATACTTGACAGACGTCGCAGCTGTAAGCGGGGCATACGATTTGCGCTTTCTCCACGGCAGTCAGCTAAAGAGAATATAACACGGACAAATGCGAATCGTTTGCTCCTCTGGCACTTGGTGGTACTGTGATGTCATCTTCAGACCTCAGTGAGATGCGCCGCGCGCGAAGTGGGAGGTGACCTACTTTCGACGGACGCGCGCAACGGACGTTCTCCCCTGAGAAGAAAGGGGAAAGGACTGTTTAGGGTAGCTGTTATTATCTCATCTGAGCCTAAAACTATTACTAATGTTACTGCCAAAGTTCTTATCAATGCAGTGTTACTGTGTCATCGTATTTGCTATCTAACTGTGATATACTGAATACGGTTGATATTTTCCTTATTCCTGTTTTTTTTTTACAACTTCTTTCCAAAATGCGATTCCGATTACATTCTATTCGCTCGTACATCATTGGACCTCCTCGAAAACTTGTCGTTTTGTTGAAATATCCATTAAAATGGCATGCATAGTTCTGAATCGAAGTCGTTTGTTTGACTCGAACTAAAGGGAGCGAGCAAAATCGACCAATTCCTTGAATTACAGGCATTCTGTTTTACAATTGCTTATCGCAACAATAATAGGTTTAAAAAAATCAAATTATTCGTACTATTAATAAGCAACAGTATTAATATGGAATAATATATATAGTGATTGATTATAATATGAAGTGGTGATTATGGCACTTTTTTTCGCCTTGGGAACACTCATCCAATTATTTTTCCATTCTGACGCTGTTACATTCTAGAAGCGGTCTTAGTGTTGTTGATGAAAATCATCTTTTCTTCCTTTTTGCTTTGTTCATTTTCTGACTAGGTGTTTGCAATTGCAGTTTACTAGTTTGTTTACATTTAAGCGCGCCCTTGTACAACGAGTAAGAGAGAAGCTAATGGTCAAATACAACATGACAGATGCTGACTATGATGTATTGGAGGTCAGTAACCACAGAATTTTTGGTTTGAATTTTTATATGCTTTTATTGCTTTTTATCGATTATCTAGCGATAAAGCAGAGTAATGCCTCCTTAACTTCGATTCTTCTGTTTATCGGTACTTACCCTGGGTTTATGGGTCAGACACAGCATATACATAAGATTCCCAATGCAAAATTTCAATTATACCTCATCCTGATCTGTGTTTGAAGAAATTTTTCGTAGCGAGGTATTGAAATGATTTGGATCGGGATTTCTTGGAAGACCNCCTCCTTAACTTCGATTCTTCTGTTTATCGGTACTTACCCTGGGTTTATGGGTCAGACACAGCATATACATAAGATTCCCAATGCAAAATGTCAATTATTCCTCATCCTGATCTGTGTTTGAAGAAATTTTTCGTAGCGAGGTATTGAAATGATTTGGATCGGGATTTCTTGGAAGACCTATATGAAAGTTACCTATCCTATAAGAAGGGCCTGGGCTGTGGGTGGGGATATTGTAGGCAGCCAGAGATTGCTCTACGTATTCCTGATGGTCAAAATCCATTTACTACCAGCTTTACCCATTCGCTGATGTTCAGATTTCTCCGCTTTGACCCTCTCTCAGCTCTCTCAGTTGGACTCTTCTGAATTTCAAGTGCATGTTTTATTCCGAGCCTTTTGACATCTTCGTCCTGTTACGTGGCACTTTTGAATTCTGGCAATGACTACGAACACCAGAATTGCTATTCGAATCTGAGAACGGATGAGCTCTTGGGATGTTTTTACCTTAAGCTTGCAGGAACAGGTTGCTCTCAAGAAATCTCAAGGAGACTGAAACTTTTGTTACATACAAAACGACAAATAAAATAAGGTACAAAAAATCCGTTACAAGGAGAGGATGCCACAACATTCGAAGCCTCTAACGCCCCGTCAGCCTTAAAGGCACAGTTCACGAGAACTTTGAGGTACCCCTTTTTAGTCGAAAAGCGGAAGTATAGGTTGAAAATAGTTCACTGCTGGTGAAGAAAGCGAGAAAATATTCGCCGATTTTGAGAAAAATAAGACTTCTCAAATGTAGGGAACAGAGAGATTGGACGAGATAACTTTGCAGAAATAACATGGATGGGGTATTCGGACGAGATTTCGGTTGTTGCAATTGCGCAAAGAACTGATCACGTCAAGCCAGAACTGCACACAAATGTCTTCCACTGTCGCTATGTGTCATCATAAGTTGTTTGAACTTCCCACATGGATTCCTCCGTGATCGGTGCAGCCTCTACAATGCCGGTGAAACTCGTCCGAGGATACACACGAGCCAATCTTTGAGCATTTGTAACTCCCTAACTAGGCCGTTTTCCTACCTAATGGTGCCAGATATGGTATACGCGGGAGCCTCAAATTCATTCTATGGGGGAATCTCAGACTGTGTACTGTGCCTTTAAGTAACTTCCACCATCCTTTCCCAATTTATCTACTGGGTTACCCTCTAAGGAAGAATAGCGACTAGAAGGGATTGACTAAAACATTGTCACGCAAATACGATGTCGTGACTTCCTATTGAGAGAGTTTTTGAAGGTCTCAGAGTAGCAGAATGTACACTCGAAAATGAGGCTTTTCTTGAGATTGTTCATGGATCAAATCCCGAATCTCCTTTGCTGCTTCTGTAAATCAACGAAGTCACATACATATTCTCTATAGAGAGGAATCGACGTCGACTATTTTTAACCATATCACTTCAACTGACACGAATGCGGTACTAAACCCCTCCCACCTTTGCACAAACTTTATTAGCTATTCTAATAATGAAGAGGAACTCTGATCCGACCGACCAGTGACGCACATTGTCAGCCCGTTCTAATTGCAACTCCCGCTAGAGCGCTCGACAAATGACATCTTGTTCGACGCAGTAACAAACTTCTTCAACTAAACAGCAATAGCATAAGAGTGCAATTTTTCAAAGATCGTTTTGAGCCCTTCCATCGATTGAGAGCAACCTGAAGGGCTCATCTCTTTCGGACTGAATATTTCTCACTCACTTTTTCGTTCTTCAATAACCTTCTTGATCTTAGGGTCAGGGCGGGGGTGATTCGACAGTAAGCAACGCTCTACCGCGCTCACATCGTCCGGGATCGAGTCCGGGATCGGTACTCGCCTAGGTCAACCAAAGCCGTCCCGGTATAGCGATACTACACTCGTCTCAGAGGTTAGAAGCACCGGTTGTAGGGGCCCAGTTCATTCGATACAATCTGGTAGACGCTGTGGCATATCTACGGCGCTCATGTGCCACAAACCCAGTGTGCATGCCAACCCACGGTCATGTCTCCAAGAAGTGTTTTCAAAGAGAATGCTTCAAGTCGATGCTGAACATTCCTCCTCTTCATTTCAGTACTGTTCTTCTCAGTACCTCCTGTCTTTGGTAGTACCCGTCAGCTTTATCAAGAAACCCAGCAGGCTAAAACCTAACCAACAGTATCTGCTCCCGATCTCGGAGCACAGGTGTTCAAGTTCACAGGCTGTTCCACCTGTTCCCATGATGTTTCTATTGTATTTAACCTCTTGTTCTTAAAGTTGAAAAAAGTCTCTGCGGGGGATGTGCTCCGACTCGGCTAGGTGAAATATGAGAAACTCCCCGTTTTTTTGAAAGACATGGTCGAGAGCAGACATGACATGGGCATTGTAAAACTGCAGAAGTGGAGGTGATAAGGAAAAGTAAGGGGGGTCTCAAAGTTGAGTTCATTGTCTGTACTATAATTCGTGTTCAAATGATCTTTCATCGCCTGCGGTTATAACACCGCAGAACGCGATCAGAAAGTCTCACATGGTTGGTGATTAGTTAGCGAATTTTCCGACAGGATTTGAACCCGCATATGCGCTTTTCGGGCTCTTTTTCTTTACACTACCGAGATCCTAACTTGCCGTCGGCTCTTGATGACTTTTATACTTTGCTTTCTATGGTCTTATAAAAACTGCGTTTGAAATAAACAGATCTGTGGGTACCTGAATGACCAGGAAAGGCCTCATTAATGGGAATGCTCTCGTAGTATGATCAGCTTTCAAACGCCGAATTAATATGAGCAAAATTGATTGATTGGTTTAGGTGGGCCCTTTTGGAAAAAATCGACCCACTTGAGTCCTGATCAATCCATTGGGCAAAATAAATAGACGATACAGCTCAAGCATAGAATCGTTGCTACCGATACTCTTACAATTCGTGTACATGGCCCGTCCCGTAGAGTCACAGGGTACCTTCAAAAGCACTTATAACCATCAATTATCATTCTTTTTTCTTGAACAATATTCAATTCGAGCGTGAACCCAAAACTGCAATTTCAATGTGGCGCCTGCTAAAGGGTGGAGCTTTCCATGTGAGGGGCGGAGTTTCGTCTTTCCACTCCGCGATTCTGTTGTACATGGATATGTGAAGTCTATCGTTTTTTAGGCAACTATTGTCAAAAGTGTTCCACATAAAGCGGGTTATCAATGGAAATTTAGTGGTGCTTTCTATTTTGCTACTACTGTTATTACTACGATAGGTGAGTGATGCTGTAATTCATACTTATCGATTTACCACATTTAAAAGGCGGCTGTAGAGGACAAGCCCACCGTAACGAGGCTTGCAACAGGTAGAGACGCAGGAGAAGAGCCTGGATCGCTGTCGATCTTTTCCGATCCTCTGCGTCTCTGACCTGATCTAGTTCTCTTATTCCTGCATGTCCGAGTCCCATAGAAAACAGTTGTAATTTTGATGCAATTTTATTATGAGAGGTTCGATTCAGGCTATGGTCATAGCACACCGTTAACGGCTGGAGGGAAGCTGTTTTGCATGTTCTACGCACTTGCCGGCATTCCTCTAGGACTGGTTATGTTCCAGAGTATCGGTTAGTTTTACTGACTTCAAATTTTCCTTTTCTCTCAGTGGCAGCAGTTGTCTGAAAGAACATTTGATTAGCCACAAAAAGTCAAGGGCGAAAAGTGCAGTGGGGGCAGTCGCGTTCCGGAAATCTGCATCCGCCCAGGCGGACTAAGCCTCTCATCGCTGTGGGTCGATAATGAGATTTTTTAAGGGAGAGAAAATTGTATGATTATTCCTAAGGAAGATGAACCTTAGAAACATAGACCGAACCGAATGTTCATCCAAGCGCCGCAAATTGAATGCAAACAGTATGCGTGGCTTATTCCGGTAAAAATTTCTCACGCTACGCCTTCTATAGTTCGATAATAGACAAGCTACTGATTGAAGGAGCGAGTACAGGGAATGAAGCCAATGCTCATGTACAGGTTCCCATTTATGTCCCGTATCAAAGATCTTCATCTTGGAGAAGTTGGCTGAGCCTAAGTTGGGAGACGTTGAGTAACTCATGAATTATATGGTATCGATGCTCTTGCGAGTGTTCTTCTTACAGTTTGACCAGTTTGACTTTGCAAGTTACTTTTCAAAATTTTTCGTCCTTACAATTAATCATTGTGGCACAGAGCAAACCTCGTCCTTCGTATAGTCAGTTTTACTGGGAAGAGTATCTATTTACGATGAAGGCAGAGGGTAAACTTAGGAGCGGTCGCGAGCGTTTGCGTTGCGGTCGCGACTTTTTCAAATCATTGACGGCTGGGGCGCAGTGAAGGAGGAGTAGCTGAGCCCGTAATGGTGCTTAAGAGCATTTGATGACTTTTTCATGTTATAACTGTACTTTTGACCTGATTTTGAGAAGGGGAGTAGCTCCGGGGTGGGTGAGCCAATTGGACATTGCCCCCCCTCCCCTCCCGACCCCAGCTACATTTTCATCAAAATTTCTCACTTCTCAAAGTATATTGTGGAAAAATTTGGTTCGAAAGCTCGAAAAAAGATTTATCTAACTGTTATTAAATAAAATCTTTTCTTTCTCAGGTGAACGTATGAACACATTCGCTGCCAGGTTACTACGGGTCGCCAAAAAGGTGGGTCTTTGCCTTTTTGACCTTTTATATCACCTTGCTTTCCCCTTCCTTTGAGAATCTGAAAGTTAAAACTTCCACTAGTTTTATTAGCACCCGTCCTATTCGGACATTCATACCCGGAAATCTCGTCCAGTAGTCATAAGTGTTCGTATTCCGGAAATTCCGCTCAAGGGAAGCTTGGACTGATAGGGCGAAACTCTGAAGCCTTGCATGATTGGGAAGCGGAATTCATTTGCTGCGGCTTTTCTCCTTTTTGATTTGAAAGGCCGAAGTGCATGGCGCAGTCTAGAAATCCTTACTTCTCTTTTTAGGCATCGGGACGTGCTCCAGTGGTGACACACATCGATTTGATATTCGTTGCCTCTGGTCTGGGCACGTTCCTTATCGCATTTGGTGCATTGGCCTTTTCCAAATATGAGAATTGGACGTACTTCGACTCTCTTTATTATTGTTTCACAACTCTTACTACTATAGGTCAGTTGGTCCGAGCTGATTTGTAAAATTTTTCTATTTTTTGATAGAAATACTGTTTTTGCAACGATGACGCCCTTGGAACTTAGCGACGCGTCGCGGTCGCGCTGCGGTAAGGTGCCTGAGCCGCGCCTACGCGACCGCGTCGCATCGCAAAAACAAGAAATTAGCTTAAAATTGCTGTTTTTTTTTNTTTTTTTTTCGCAGTGATCGTGTCGTTTTTCTAGATAGGCTGAACTGTCGTCATCTAATCTGCAGCAATTGATTTACAGAAAAATCAATAAATCGATAGTTATGTTGCAGGTTTTGGTGATTTCGTTGCCTTACAAAAAGGCGGTGCACTACAAAATCAACCGGATTACGTGGTATTCTCGTTGGTTTTTATACTGTTCGGTTTAACCGTGATCTCTGCCGCTATGAATCTGCTCGTATTACGATTCCTTACGATGAACACGGAAGATGAGCGGAGGGATGAACAGTACGTTATTCCTTTTTCTCCCACCCCTTTGACCTACCTAACGCATGAGAAGGTATAGATATAGTGGGGTGATTTCGTGGGTGTGGGTAACTGTGAACCGGAACCTGCATCAACCAAACCCGTCTATGACTTGCGGCGCGCTTGAATTTCTCTTGCGTTCGAGTGAAAGTGAAAAAGTGAAGTGGAAGAAGTGAAACGCCTCCTATTTTTCCAGTTCTCAGCACGGCATGAAAATGAGTGTAAATCTAAGGAAATTTCAATAGCTTCTTCTCTATCGTTGCTTTTGTTCAGTGAGTTAGGTGCTATAAGTATAGCTGACAAAGAGAAGCGGAACGGTTCCCGATATGCTGCACGAATCTAAGAGATAGCTCAGAAAATGGGCGTAAAAGGGGCGGGGCGTTCACAATGGTTGTGAGACATTCAGGCTAGGTAGGGGGCATATCGAGGGGGTATCGACAAAATGGATGGCAAAGCTTAAAGGCACCGTTCGCAATAAATTTAGGGTACCCTTTTTTGACGGGAATTGATAGAACTTCTCTAGAATAAGGCGATAACAACGAAAAAAGCACAAAAAACGATGAACAAAAACAGTTTCAAAGGGTCAAAAAAAGAGCTGGAAAGGAGGGTTGGATGA